GCTGAAGTGAAGCGTCTCATCTTCTGCACAGGGAAAGTTTATTATGACCTCACCAAAGAACGAAAGACCAGAGGCCTGGAGGACACAGTGGCCATCAGCCGCATTGAGCAGGTACCTCCATACACTTTCATAATTATATTTATTAAATGGGCCATTTGTACACAGCATTATAATTTTCGCTTAATGCCTTCACCCTAAAGTAGTTCAAAGATGTATTTGATGACTTTAAATGTATTTTTGTCCAGCTTTCTCCATTCCCGTTTGACCTGGTGAAAGCAGAGGCAGAGAAGTATCCACAGGCTCAGCTGCTGTGGTGCCAGGAAGAGCATAAGAATCAAGGCTACTACGACTACGTCAAGCCACGCATCAGCAGGGTGTTCAACAACACCCGTCCCATATGGTAACTCGTGTCCTTAGACTCATCTGAAGAGTGAATCTCACAAAATCTCTCAAGAACTAGGTCACATTTTTCTCCAAAATTAAAAGAATGATATTTGGCATACAGACAATGAAGCCATGTGTCAAGTAAAATTGACATTTGCATTGCATTACTGTGATGGAAAAAAATATACAGTTGTGGTCAAAAGTTTACAATCACCTTGCAGAATCTGAAAAATGTGAATTATTTTACCAAAATAAGAGGGATCATATAAATATTTAATTTGATAGCGATTACTAGCAATGTCCAGTTTGGGAGTAAATCATTCTTTTTAAGTAGCTTTTTCAATGATTTAGTCAAAATGGGTTACATATTGTTTTGAATGGATTCATTAGCAAATCTATGTAAATGAAAGTATTTTTTTTAAATCCTGGACATAGAACAGTCATGAAAATGTATTGGTCAAACATTGTGGGACTCTGTCTGTAGCTAACTTGTGGTTTCATGAAGTTTTAATCTTTTCTATTTACTCTAGCTCATCATCTTCACGCCTAAATCACTGCTACGTCACCCAGAGGCTAAGTCAAGTTTTGACGACATGCTGCCAGGTTTGTCCATTTGAAATTTTGGCAGTCATACAACGTCCTGCGAAGAATTTTTTTAGAAAATTTTGGTTGTTTTTGGGTTTGATTAGGGACACACTTCAGACGTCTGATTCCAGAAGAGGGAAGTGCATCACAGAATTCAGCTGAAGTGAAGCGTCTCATCTTCTGCACAGGGAAAGTTTATTATGACCTCACCAAAGAACGAAAGACCAGAGGCCTGGAGGACACAGTGGCCATCAGCCGCATTGAGCAGGTACCTCCATACACTTTCATAATTATATTTATTAAATGGGCCATTTGTACACAGCATTATAATTTTCGCTTAATGCCTTCACCCTAAAGTAGTTCAAAGATGTATTTGATGACTTTAAATGTATTTTTGTCCAGCTTTCTCCATTCCCGTTTGACCTGGTGAAAGCAGAGGCAGAGAAGTATCCACAGGCTCAGCTGCTGTGGTGCCAGGAAGAGCATAAGAATCAAGGCTACTACGACTACGTCAAGCCACGCATCAGCAGGGTGTTCAACAACACCCGTCCCATATGGTAACTCGTGTCCTTAGACTCATCTGAAGAGTGAATCTCACAAAATCTCTCAAGAACTAGGTCACATTTTTCTCCAAAATTAAAAGAATGATATTTGGCATACAGACAATGAAGCCATGTGTCAAGTAAAATTGACATTTGCATTGCATTACTGTGATGGAAAAAAATATACAGTTGTGGTCAAAAGTTTACAATCACCTTGCAGAATCTGAAAAATGTGAATTATTTTACCAAAATAAGAGGGATCATATAAAATGCATGTTATTTATTTAGTACTGACCTGAATAAGATATTTAACATAAAAGATGTTTACATATAGTCCACAAGAGAAAATAATAGTTGAATTTATAAAAAATTACCCCGTTTAAAAGTTTACATACGCTTGATTCTCAATACTTTGTTGTTACCTGGATGATCCACAGCTGTTTTTAGTTTTGTTTTGTGATGGTTGTTCATGAGTCCCTTGCTGGTCCTGAACAGTTAAACTGCCCAAAATATGCTGGATGCTATGCATTCATGCAACAGTATTTGTACCCAATTATCCCTTGCGTTGTTAATGCATATAAGTCATGTAATAATGCATGTTAGACCTCAGTTGTAAGTCGCTTTGGATGAAAGCGTCTGCTAAATGAAAACATGCATTTACGTTTCTATTTACATGTATTCTTCTCAGGTACGCTGGCCGAGAGCCTGCAGCTGCCCCCGCCACAGGCAACAAGAAGGCTCATCTTGTGGAGCTGGAGCGGTTCTTAGACACGGCCTTTAACCTGAATGCCTTCCAGGGCCACCTCACCCCAACCACTCACTTCATTTCCAACCCTCCGTCCCTCGTTTTTCAGGAAACTCACACCCCGCTGTTAGCGTTAGATGGCAGGCTGGCAGCTAGGAATGTCCTGACCAAAGCACAGGTTTGATTTGCACTGTACAGTAGGTATGAGAGGCCTATCTATGCAGATTTACTAAATGGATGTGAGCTTTTAGCAACTACATGGTAATGGGATCAATTTACATGCATGTTGATGATGGTTTTAATAGAGCCTTAAAGTGACATGCAGCTTGAACTAGAGGTTTCTCCTCAATAATACAAATAATAATTAATTTTGAATATGTACAAAATCACGGACAACAGCGCAAGAAAATGTTTGCACCGTCCGTTACCCGAGTTAGCATGGATGTCTCTCAGAAATGATAGCATGAGGGTGTTAAAGGGCATGCATGGAACCCTATGCATTTTTAAATTATTGCGAAAAAGGAACTACTTAGCTTGCCTGCGTTTAGAAGTTTTATAATACAGAAGGAAATGTGAAGACACCATATCCTTCACCTTCATCCTCCTATATCTTCATCTCCCATTCACCCTCTAAACACTCAGTGCCAAATTATTATGAACTTAAATAGGTGAATTCAAGGACTGAAAGCTGAAACAATCATTTTATCTTCTTGTAATTTAAAAAAACAATAAGCTGAGATTAAGCAGCAAGCGGAAAGACTCTCTTCAGGACATAAAAGGATTTATTTATTTTCTTAAGCTTATGTGTATTCCAGACTACTGTTATGATACTTCGTTCAATAAAAGCATCTCAGTTCAGTCTGTTTGCTTGTTTGTACTAATAACTGATGCAAGAACAAATTTAACATGAGCACAGTTTATTTTTGCATTAATAAAGACATGTCTTGTGCACTTTCAGATGATACTAAGGCCTTTGATTAATATGATTTGTGACAGACTATAATTTATTTTAATGTAAACAATTAAGTTTATATGACACCTGTGGTCCAAAAACAAATACATTACATAAAGCAGTTTTTTTTTTTTGTATTGTATTGTTAACTTCATTACTCTGATCCTTCAGAAATCTGATACATTCAAAGCAGCTTTACATATTTAATACTGCTGAACTGTTTTTGACTACTGTTTTCTGAAGTGAGCTTGTATGTATCTCGAGTAGCCGGGCAGATTTACAATAAGCTAGCCATATGCCCGATCTTCTCACTGATGAATCCATCCAGATCTGCTGGCAAGTGATGTTCACGAGCGTAGTGTCCAGAGAACTCTTTCAGCCAGTTGTACAGTTTATCTATCGAGAGAAGAATCGATCAGGTTACTCTAAATCAGAACTTGAAAAACTAGTTTAAATTAAAATAGTATTACTGTATGTTTTTAAAGCAACACTGAGCGTCTTTGGTTCTTGAATTTGGCTATTAAATTATGCTACTAAAAATAGATATATTTAAAAAAGATTTTTTTAAATGGAGATTTTTACAAGGGCTACGTTCACACTGTACGTTTTTGGGATTGACAACCGCATTTACTTACAGGTGTGAGTCTCGAAATGTCCCGTTCACACAGCAACTTACAGTAGCGTTTCGAATACTGTCTGTATGGACGTGCAGTGGGAGTCAAGCCCGTATTTCTTACCAGTTACAATAGCGACTAGAGTAATATCAAAGATGGTGACGTCCATAAAACTGAAAGTCTTATCACTTTCTGTCACGACAAGAGTCCAACTGAGCCGCAAGTTAATCCGTAAAGTCTTAATTAACTGACAGCAGCTTTTATGTTTGGGTGGAGAGCGAAGCATTTGAGTCGCGCGCAGAACACAAAACTGACAGGAGCGGCTCCGGTGGAGACTGGATCTAAAACTTTCAGATGACCCACAGCTCATTTCTCCGTCACTGTAAGTTACTGAAACCAGACATGAAAACACGCAACACGCGGTAAACACGCGTTTGTGCAGCAGAGCGGCTCTCTCGCACTGTACGACGTGACAGACAACTAGTTGTCCAGTCCTGTTCCGTTCACACAGCACGGGTTTTCCGAGAATGCGTTTTGAGAGTCCTGAAAATGTATAGGTGTGAATTCAGTTACAGAATGCGGTTGTCACGCCTGAAAATAACCGACCTGTGTGTGAACATAACCGTATTAAGGACTCAATTACAGGACTGACAACCGTATTCTGCTGCTGCGTGAACGTGGCCAAGGAGTCTTCTGCTCTCCAAGGCTGGATGTTTTGATTAAAAAAAATACAGTAAACAGTAATACTGTAGAATTATATGACCATTTAAAATAACTTTTTTTCTATTTGAATATATTTTAAATTGTAATTTACTCCTGTGATGTAAAGCTGAATTTTCAGCATCATTACTCCAGTCTTCAGCGTCACATGATCCTTCAGAAATCATTCTAATATGCTGATTTGCTGCTCATGAAATATTTATTATGATTATCAATGTTGAAAACTTGCTGCTTAATGTGTCCTTGCTAAATAAAAGTATTATTTTTGTAAAAAAATATAATAATCTTACTGACCCCAAACTTCTGAATGTTAATGTTTATCATCCAACTCCGAGCTCATGGTGTGTCTGTCTAAAAATTTATCACTAAAAATCAATTTCTTTAGGAGGAAATTAATGGGATTTTTATTTGCGAAGCCCTACTCAATTAGTAATATCAGTATATAGTATAAGCCTATTTGGTTCTGTGTGTTTTGACTTCAATGAATGTACTTACCCACGGTCACTTTGTTGATGGTCAGTATCTCATGCATTCTTTGTATTTCTTTTGCAAGTTCTTTATTGCCAGCGGTGAAGTAAGCCATGTCTCGTCCAGCCACGGCGGCAGCCATCAACTGGATGAGAGCTTTTAAAGACAAACACATTCTGTTCTGTGCATTTATCATAATCCATCTGTAGTGTCTCCAGATCAAACAGGATGTCTGTGTGTTTTGTCTTTATTTACCTTTGAGTTTAGGATCTCCGTTGAAGGCACCGCAGCCCCAGTTGCCCGTTGCGATGGCCGTTTTCACGTCTCCATGGAATCCCACAAACGCCTTTGAGAGTCACACGGTATAAGCCTAACCTTACGATAACAAATACTTACCACAGCAAACCTCATTATTTGTACTTGTCAAAACTAATACCTTGTTGAGTTCTCGTTTTATGTTCTCTTTAGTGTACTGGTCCTTCGGGTTCTTGAAGTCGAGAGCATCGATGGCAACAATCTGCCGATAACGTCTCTTCCAGTTATCCCTATGAATTTACTTGTGGCTGTAAAACCAACGTTTTTTTTTTTTTTTTTAATGAACTTTTACATTTTGTATATTTGTCATCATTACTTACCGCTTCATGCAATCATTGTATGGACCCACCCAAGAAAAGGTTTTGCTGTAGCCAGAAGTAAAGCTGTACATCTGAGGACCTGATGACACATTAGCGATAAGAGGAAATGTCACGTAACCATCAACACTATCGCTCTGTCACGTTACCATGTGTGTTGTAAATACGTTTATATGTGTGTAACCATTCTATACTGAATTTGTTGCATTGCGGGTCTGAAATTTACTGATATAAAAAGGTGTCCTGTGACTGTGACAGAATGAGGTAATTTTCATTTTTGCGTGAACTATCCCTGTAACTGACTGAAAGCTGTTTTAGTTTTCTAACTTTGTCTGTGCTAAACGCCCCAGCAGTACCTGTGATCTTGAGGCACTCGTTATCAGCCAGTTTCTCAGTGAAGAGTCTGGCCACGATGAGCTCTGGACTCATGAAGAAGAGGATCTCCTCCTGAACCAGTCCCGATCCCAGCACCCCACCACCAATATAATTGCTGGCAAACTCCACCTGTCCAGAACCATGTGATGTAGATGAAACTGAAGAACAGGTACAAAACTGAAGTTTAGATGAAACTGACCTGCAGCATCCCTGTACCCTCATGCTCAATGGATCCTTCTGGAGAGATGTGAAGGTTCCTCAGGGGAACTTCTGACTAAAGTCCAACACAATCAATAAGAGACATGCCAAATCACTTCAGTCTATTTAGTGTATAATTAATGTAACAAACAATTTCCATTTAGGGAGCTGTGATGTTGGAATGCTAATCCTTTCAAAAGTAACCAGTCCATCTGGTTTTGCTGTTAAAGAAGTTAAAAGACATTATATTTGGTTATACTACATCCAAAATCATTTCCTTGCTTGCTTCCTTTGAAATATGTGCCTGCGACAGTGACATATACAGTACACTACTGTTCAATAGTTTGGGGTCAGTAAAATTTTTTTAAAAGAAATTATACTTTTATTCAGCAAGAACGCATTAAATTGATCAAAAGTGACAGTAAAGACATTTAAGATGTCACAAAATATTTATATTTCAAATACATGCCGTTCCTTTGAGCTTTCTATTTATCAAAGAATCATGAAAAAAAAATGTATATGAAGCAGCACATCTGTTTTCAACATTAATGATAAATGTTTCTTGAGCAGCAAATCAGCATATTAGTATTATTTCTGATGGACTGAACTCTGACACTGAAGACTGGAGTAATGGTGCTGCAAATTCAGCTTTCATCAAAGGAAAACATTTTTAAATTGTAATAACATTTCACAATATTACTGTTTTCACTGTATTCTTTAAATGCAGCCTTGGTGGGCATAAGAGACTTATTTCAAAAACATTTTTTAATTAAAAAAACCTTACCGACCCAAAACTTTTGAACAGTAGTGTCCAGTAGCTGTGTTTTAAGCGTGTTCTCAATACCTGGATCTTCATTATTTGTCACTGTGTTGAAGTAATGGAATATGGCCCTCAGTTTCTCTGCCTTTAAGGCAGGTCTTGTTAGCAAATAGGCTATACCAAAAAAAACAAAACTATATTTTTTAGATCAGAATGAAATGTGGTTTCAAACAGAGGGAAAAGAGAGATGCATGTTTCTGAATGGGGTATATGATATCCTTCTGTTATGAAACAGGACATCAGTTTCATACATGTCCACTGTAAAGGACACCAGGACTTAAAGCATGTTTATTACACATTTTGGGAGCCACAACAAATGAATAGAGAAAAAATTATATCAATATTCCTATTAAATATTAGATATTATTATGAAAATCTTGCTAATTATTACTCCCATTATTGCACTTATTTGTTCATTTTATGTTGCCCCAAAAACACATTAATATGCAAATTAGATACAGTTTATAGATACATTGTATATAATGGTAAAACTCGTTTATGGCCATTTTACACACATTTTGCATTAAGAAAAATGTTTTTTAAAAATAACATAACATAGTTGAGAATTATCTTTATATAAAGTTTGGTATAAAAAAATAAAAATTGATTTCTGATTAAAACAAAAATCCCACTGTTTTTGCCTTTTCATGTCTATTCATGTCTTTTTATTTTTTTTTAAAACAGGACTTTTTAAAGTCCCGATGTCCTCTACAGAGACATGGCATAACATGAATAAAATATAATTTTTCAAAAAATTTATTTTTCACAATTTTTCTTATGCTCTAAACAATGTAATGACATGATATAATACTAAATTCACAAAACTGTTTTTTCCTGGTAGTCAGGACTGTTTGGTGTCAGAATAGGAAAAACTGCCGATTTATTGGAGTTTGATTAAGGACACATTGTGATGGCCCGGGCCTTGTGGGTTGTTTACCTGTAACTATAGTGAGTATGTATCAAAACATGATGGTAGAGGGGGGCTGAGACTGTTGCGCATTGTTCACAGCGACCGCAGGGCAACAGTGCAACAAATCACCAGCAGGGCCTACGTAGCCGACCACCCAGCCGGGTCTCCCACGCCATCGCCAACAACGTATGAAATGGGCCCAAGATCATTGAAATTGGACCGTGCATGATTGGAAGAAAGTGGCCTTGTCTGATGAATCAAGATTCCTGATGCATCACTATTCAATGGCCGAGCGCAGATACGCTGATTACCAACAGAGGCTATGGCACCTGGATGCACTGTTGGGCACAAATGGGCAGACACAAGCCGGTGGCAGCGGTGTTATGCTGTGGGCATTGTTTTCTTGGGACACTTTAGACCCCATTATCCCAATAGCACAATCCCTGACAGCTCTCAGGTATCTGAACATTGTTGTGGACCAAGTGCACCTATTCATGGCAACTGTGTTCCTTGCCGGTGATGGCCGTTACCAACAGGATAATGTACCATGTCGCATTGCCAGAGTCGACAAGGAGGGGTTCGAGGAACATGATGGTGAATTTTCATTAATGAAATCGAAAAGCTGGTTTGCGCTACATCACTACCACCCCGCAATGTACGGGAACTGGAGGACCTTGCCACATGGCCACTGTTTTGTAGGCTAAAGGAGGTCCTACAGGTTATTAGATAGGTGGTCATAATGTAATTGCTCATCGGTATAGCCTATATATACATGCGTATATATATATATATATATAGTTTCAGTGTAATGTGATCAGTGTAACACCTGCTGAAGTTGATGGTGGGGTAGTTGGCATATTCTGAACCAGGTTTAGTGTTGTTCCTGTGAGGGAAGGTGCAGAAGAAGGCGTTTGCTAACAGACAAGAAATCTGCTGCTGAGACATTGTTATGGCCAGGTTCTGTTGCTGTCGCAGGAGAGGGATGGGCTAGAGACAAAGTGTAGACAGTACAAGCAATGCAATTAGTTCAATCTAAATTCAATCTAAATCTCCACTGTTATAGCCTGACAAATGATGATTTTGTGATTGTGATGTGATGTGATTTTTTTTTCTTTGTCTTGTATGATTGTTGCTTGTCACATTGTACAATATAACCCTGATCAGATTTTGCATAAAAGCCAATTCACAAACTTTGTCTTAGATGACAAAATCGTAACCAAAATCATACAGTGTGGACCAGACATTACTTTAAAACATAAGTTATACTAGTATATTTACAACATAAGTAATACTAGAACTACAGGATTCTTAATTAACACAATAAAGGAACCTGTAACATACCTTTTGAATGAGTTCAGGTAAATCAAGAGCTAGTCTGGCCATCTTTGGGATCAGCAAATGGAGATTATTGTCCATTTTGTGTAAGCGCTGTAGAGCAATTACACAAATCAATCTGTGTATCCAGTGGCGTAAAGTATTTGAGTAAATGTAACAAGTTACTGTACTTAAGTATCTTTTTGGCAACTTCATAGTTTTACTGAGTATCAAAGATATTAGCAACTTTTACTTTCTACTTGATTACATGTTACTCTTTACTCCAATACATTTGTGATGAGGAATGCAGTTACTCAATTACAAAAGAAGTGATATCGCCATCTAAGGGCATTGAAGGTACTATATAATGTGCGTTTTGCCCTTCTGCACACAAACTTGTCAACATAGCCTATATGAGATGAGGACATGGCTGCAGTGGTGTGCACAGACCTCCACAGGGGCAGAAATTGGGCAGGTGGGATCCTCCTCGGTAGAAATCGCATCCGGGGTGGGTGGTACGGTTGAAGGATATTAGTTTACTTAGGAGACTTCAGTGTTTGTAGGCGTTTAAGAAGCTGTTGTCTCGACCTTGATTTATTGTAATTTTGAGGTGTTTGTTTTATTTTGATTTCAGAAAATAAATGTGATCGCTCTCCTCACAAATGAACTGTTTCTTGTTTTTCACTGGCATTTCTCTTAGGTGTTGAGGACTAGTGCATCTTTGAGCCTACATTCAGTACAAGTAAAATACTTGAGTACTGTTCAAATCAGATGCTCTAAGACTTTTACTCAGGTTGAATTGGAACTGGTGTCTTGTAATGGAGTCATTTTCACTGTAAGGTATCTGTACTTTTACCCAAGTATGGTTTTCAGATCCTCTTTACACCTCTTGTGTGTATTTTCACATTAATATTTACCTGTTCTCTGATATAGTGATAGATTCACTAACTTGACCATAATTATAAAGTGCATCAAATGTCCATTTGTCCTTGTTGTTGGAATAATTGCGGTCTACAAATAGACAGAGACAGTTAATAGGTCGCATGATAAACACACTTTAAGTAGTGTATAAGTAATTGTCAGGCTCTTTGGAGCTCTTTGTAGAAGTCTACCATTGTTCTGAGGTTCTGGATGGGATATGTGGGCCGCAGCTCTATCGAAGGCTTTGGTCTTGTTCCTAAGCTGGAAACAACTGAGGAAACATCTGAAGTGTCCATAGGTGCACTTTGAGAGGGCTGGTTTGAGCTGCCTTCTCTAGATGTACTATGGTTTGGTTTGGGGCTTTGAACCTCATCGGATTTGGAATTTTTGGTCATTTTCTCTGCATTCTCACCAGATGCAGGCGTTCTTTCTCGTCCCCCTTCCCTTCCATTCCATTCTCATTAGATCTGTGCTGGCTGGTGGCCCCTGCAGAATCAATCTGTGAGTGCCGGTTTTTGGATTCTCCTCTTGATAATGGATCAACAGTGTTTCCACTGTTATTCATCTGATTCAAGCATCCATCGCTGTTGTGTGACATCTAAGGCCAAAATTAAACAAAAAATATCACAGTACCCAAATCAAGACTGGAAGTCTTAAAAGTAAAGCAAATCCATGTATGGATTTGACAGGTGTTTTAAAGGGGTCCTTGATTATGGTCTCAATTTTTTTTACTTTAGTTAGTGTGTAATGTTGCTGTTTGAGCATAAACAACTTCTGCATTTAAGGCCTACAACACACGGCTGGTAGGGACTACAAGGAGCTTCTTCCTGGGTTGATGAAATCACAAACCCTAGGAAGAGTTGTTGTAGTAAACATAGTGTTACTGTTATAAATTAAACAATTATTCTACAAAAATGCTTCAACGCAATCATGTATTCTGCTGTACTAAAGCTTTAATAAGGATAAAACCGTGTATCAAAAGCTAACATAAACAGCAGTAGCATTTACAAATAACAGCGTATCTATAAAGTATGAGACAACTACAAACAAAAAAGCATAAGTTACCATTCTGAAACGTCCTGTAAGAGTTCTGCTCGATCCTCTTCACTAATATTCTCTGGGTCTGATTCAGGCTCAAATTGATAAGGCAATATTGACGCCATTAATGGTAAAGGGGCTTGACGTTTCTGGACAGCGTGCACTAGACGGTTAGCGAATCACAACTAACCAATCAGAACCCATTGCGTATTTCTGAGGGAGGGGTTTCAGAGAACCAGGAAGTCAACAGACGGTTTTGACGAGAATGGAACCAGCGGTGTAGAACGGGTGGGCTTTTGATCGCCCCCTGGTGGCTGGCTGCAATACAGGTCATAAACCCCGCCCTCTCCATGTAAACGAATGGGACTTGAGTCAAAATAAAAAAATAAATTACACTTCCAATACAATTTTCTGAAAGATGGTTTTGGTCATTTAAGGTAGTCGTTATCACGCTGATACATGTTAAATTGATCGTTTTTTTGATAAGTTTGATTTTAGCTAGTAATTTGATGCTATAAAAACAGGGCATGTCGTTATGGTTGATTGGGTCTGTGGGAGTTTGATACCGCAGCTCCACCTCACGACACTCTTGCGCAGACTCTGGCTCCAAATGACGTCATTTACTCAAGATGGCAGCGGCCATAATGAGATGCTTTGGCTTCACTTTTCTATAGTGGTAGGAAGTGGTGACGCGTCGTCTATCTTTTTTTACAGTCTATGGTGTAGAATAAAGGTAAAAACGAAGCATGAACGCATGTTACAGTGCACCCCATAAACATAATAAAGCCTTCGAAAATAGCTGATTTACCACCCCTTTAAATGTTGTAATAACTTTGAAAAGTTCGATTCGAAGTTAAGGTTCTGTCATGATTATCGTTGTTCGGCAAATTTTCGTGGGCGAAATCTAGGATTGCTGCTTGAGGGCGAAATATTTAGGATTTTCTAATTAATAACTGCCATAGCCTATATGATATTTTGGAAACTATTACCATGGTAAACTTTCAGGGTAAAAATAGAAAAATCAAGATCCACACAAATTTAAGGCCATAAAAAGTCTTAATGGTACAAGAACGTCTTAATTTTGATTTCAAGAGGTCTTAAATTTGGGCATGGAAAGACAAGAATTGCGATATGGCTTAATGTGACGATTAAACCTCAAAAGGCTGTGATTTCATTCCATAAACACGAGCGCTACACGTTTCAAAGTCAGAAGCTGCGCTGCTTTGTTTACAGCCGTTACCAGGGAAACCACTGTATTTCTGCCGTTCCCAAAGCGCCTCCTGCTGGCAGAGAATGAATTTGCATTTTTAATCAGCCTGTCTGCTGTTTTTGTTCAGACCAATAGGAAAATTACCCATGTTTTACGCAGGAAACACCAGAGTTGTAAATGTGAACTGGTGGATCGACAAGAAGATAATGCATTATAAAAACCTAAACAATTAATACAGTAAAATATTTGTATATGTTATTTAATCAATATAATAATTGGTTGATAATAATTGTTTAAATTAATATAATAATTGATTCTTTTGACTTCATTTTCTTAAAAATGGTTTAAAGGCTAAAATGTGAAGTTTATCATTTTATAAAACTTTGTTTTTGTGAAAACCTGTATCTGAACTGTAAATCATGCTTTTTACAGTAATTTTACAGTTTAATATGTTACTATACATTGCCCTACTGTGCTCATATGGTATTAATTTTATTTGTGCAGGTCTTAAAAAGTCTTAAATTTGAGCTTAAGATTCCTGCAGATACCCTGTAGAGGCCAAAAAGCTCATAAAAAATTATAGAGAGGCCACAAAAAAAACCTTTATTTAATTAAATATTTAATTTAATAGTAGTAGTAGTAGTAGTAGTAATTTTATGTGGCCTCTGTATAATACTATGATGTGAGGTTTTTGGCCTATTTCTTAATGTGTTTCTTCATTTTTCTATTTCGGATCTACGCATCTGAAGTCGTGTTTACTATTTCTTCCTGGAGTTCAAACTTTCAGGGTAACCAAAAACTCATTGGAGTAAGGAAAAGACAGGAAACACGTGTTTATAAAGGTAGTGCGTGGGGGGAAAAACATATTAGTAGGTAAAGTTAGTATAAATCAAACTCAGTGTACTTAGAGGTATCTTGTACGAAGAGGAAAATGCTAAAACAGTGCATCTCCTCTCTTTCATTTTAATTAATACTAAATTATATACATAGTTAATATTTGTTCTGTAGTGTTACTTGCTTTCACTTTCGATTTTATGAACTGTGTACAGACAAATGCGCTGTTTTTAAAAGGACCTCAATGTAACTTTCGCCAAATTTTAAATGATACGTGCGAAACAGAATGTGCAGAAAATGGTAAATAACATCTAGGCTACTCACTTGTTCGGCGGTAATAGTCCGTGTTGTTGACGTGCTTGTGATTGCTCGCGTGAAAGTGAACGCGCAAGAATGAAACCTGGAGCTGGTGGCAGTTAAAAAAAAACACACACAAATATTTATTTCTAAAACTGGCATTTAATAAATTCTGTCACAGTGTACTTTCCTGGTCAATACAATACCGCTTTACACAGGAGCCTTTTTTTTAATCGCTCACCTTTAGTCACATGACTGTTATCGTTCGTCTCTTTAACCACCAGATGGCGCCACTCCAATTATTATAAGCTTTAGATGTGGGCGGGGTTTGCTAAGTGTCTGTCACTTTTGCTTATACTTGAGGCTGGGAACAAACCCCTAAAACTAATAAACATTTGTAATACCCTCATAAATGGAGCATTTTGAATGTTTAAATCTCTCTCTCTCTTTTTTTTTTTAGATACAGACAGTAAAGTGACATTTATGAAGTACAGAAACAAAACTGAAACGGTTAAAGTGCAACCGATGCTAAATTGTTACACCATGGATGTGAATTAAAAGGTACGTTGGTTTCATTTTATTTTATTGTAATTTCTAAAAACAAGCTGAGATTAAGCCAAAAAATGATCATATTACTTTATTCAATAAAAGCATTCGGGTTTTATTCTGCTGTTGTTTGTACTTATACTTGATGCAAGTAATTCACCATGACATTTTTTTTTATTTTGCATTAACAAATAAATGAAATGTGTCCCTTATTGGCTGTTACTGAGGCCTTTGATTAATATAAATGCTGAATGACTATAAAGCTTTTTAATTAAGGTAAATAATTAGATTTATATGACACCTGTGAGCTTACAAGATAAACATTTCAACCGCTTTTTCTTTTTTAGTATAGTAGTAGGCCTACAGTTGTATCATTATTCAGTTCCTTCAGAGTTTAGCTTTACATATTTAATACTGCTGGACTGTTTTTGCTACATTTGTTTACAATAAATTATCCTTCTGCCCGATCTTCTCTCTGATGAGTTTGTACAGGTCTATTGGCGAGCCACTTTCATGAGTGTAGTTTCCACAGAACTTCTTCAGCAACTTGTACAGTTTACCTGTTGAGAGAAGAAACGATCCAATAATGCTTCTCATTCTTGTTACCACTGTAGTTTTAGTTCATCTTCAGACTGAATGTTGATCTAAATCAATCAAAAAACTATTTTTGTAGAGCAACACTGAACAGCCAATTTAAGTAGTTTTACCTTACTATGCTACAAGTAAAATTCCGAACAACTAGGTTGTTAAGGCAATAAATATATAAATGACACTGCACTTAACATCAGAGCTCATAGTGTATTTCATATGAAAGGTTTGAACTAAAGATCTATTTCTATATATATATTAAAAAACCTTATTTCTAAAAATCTATAGGAGAAAATGAATCAATTTTTGTTTGTGTAACCCTATTGTTGTGCTCTATTATTAAACCAATTAATACCTGTGTGTTTTGACTTCAGTGAATGTACTTACCCACGGTCACTTTGTTGATGGTCAGTATCTCATGCATTCTTTGTATTTCTTTTGCAAGTTCTTTATTGCCAGCGGTGAAGTAAGCCACGTCTCGTCCAGCCACGGCGGCAGCCATCAACTGGATGAGAGCTTTTGAAGACAAACACATTCTGTTCTGTGCATTTATCATAATCCATCTGTAGTGTCTCCAGATCAAACAGGATGCGTGTGTGTTTTGTCTTTATTTACCTTTGAGTTTAGGATCTCCGTTGAAGGCACCGCAGCCCCAGTTGCCTGTTGCGATAGCTGTTTCTGGTTTTCCGTGGAATCCCACGAATGCCTTTGAGAGTCACACAAGCCTGAATAACCTTTACAGTTAGGAATGGCAAAATTCTTACATATATTTTAATGTGTTAAAACTAGTACCTTGTTGAGTTCTCGTTTTATGTTCTCTTTAGTGTACTGGTCCTTCGGGTTCTTGAAGTCGAGAGCATCGATGGCAACAATCTGCCGATAACGTCTCTTCCAGTTATCCCTATGAATTTACTTGTGGCTGTAAAACCAACGTTTTTTTTTTTTTTTTTAATGAACTTTTACATTTTGTATATTTGTCATCATTACTTACCGCTTCATGCAATCATTGTATGGACCCACCCAAGAAAAGGTTTTGCTGTAGCCAGAAGTAAAGCTGTACATCTGAGGACCTGATGACACATTAGCGATAAGAGGAAATGTCACGTAACCATCAACACTATCGCTCTGTCACGTTACCATGTGTGTTGTAAATACGTTTATATGTGTGTAACCATTCTATACTGAATTTGTTGCATTGCGGGTCTGAAATTTACTGATATAAAAAGGTGTCCTGTGACTGTGACAGAATGAGGTAATTTTCATTTTTGCGTGAACTATCCCTGTAACTGACTGAAAGCTGTTTTAGTTTTCTAACTTTGTCTGTGCTAAACGCCCCAGCAGTACCTGTGATCTTGAGGCACTCGTTATCAGCCAGTTTCTCAGTGAAGAGTCTGGCCACGATGAGCTCTGGACTCATGAAGAAGAGGATCTCCTCCTGAACCAGTCCCGATCCCAGCACCCCACCAATATAATTGCTGGCAAACTCCACCTGTCCAGAACCATGTGATGTAGATGAAACTGAAGAACAGGTACAAAACTGAAGTTTAGATGAAACTGACCTGCAGCATCCCTGTACCCTCATGCTCAATGGATCCTTCTGGAGAGATGTGAAGGTTTGTCAGAGTCTTCTTCTGTCTAAAGTCCGACACGATCAATAAGAGGCATGTCAACTCACTTTAGTCTGTTTAGATTGTAATTAATGTAACTTACTTTTTCCATTTAGGGAGCTGTGATTTTTGAATGCTAGTCCTTTCAAAAGTAACCAGTCCATCTGGTATTGCTGTTAAAACAATTAAAGGCCATTAAATTTACACTGAAATAGCTACACTGAATCCAAAATCCCATGTGATAAGTGTGTTCTCAGTACCTGGATCTTGATTATCACTTTTATTTGTCACTGTGTTGAAGTAATGGAAAATGGCCCTCAGTTTCTGTGCTTTCTGGGCTAATTTTGCCGGGTCTTTCTCGTCAGCAAATAGGCTAA